CACTCAGAATACCCCAACAGTAGCCAAGTAGCAACCATTCAGAACACATTGCATCTGCTTAGCAACACCTTAGCAACCACTCAGAATACCCCAACAGTAGCCAAGTAGCAACCATTCAGAACACATTGCATCTGCTTAGCAACACCTTAGCAACCACTCAGAATACCCCAACAGTAGCCAAGTAGCAACCATTCAGAACACATTGCATCTGCTTAGCAACACCTTAGCAACCACTCAGAATACCCCAACAGTAGCCAAGTAGCAACCATTCAGAACACATTGCATCTGCTTAGCAACACCTTAGCAACCACTCAGAATACCCCAACAGTAGCCAAGTAGCAACCATTCAGAACACATTGCATCTGCTTAGCAACACCTTAGCAACCACTCAGAATACCCCAACAGTAGCCAAGTAGCAACCATTCAGAACACATTGCATCTGCTTAGCAACACCTTAGCAACCACTCAGAATACCCCAACAGTAGCCAAGTAGCAACCATTCAGAACACATTGCATCTGCTTAGCAACACCTTAGCAACCACTCAGAATACCCCAACAGTAGCCAAGTAGCAACCATTCAGAACACATTGCATCTGCTTAGCAACACCTTAGCAACCACTCAGAATACCCCAACAGTAGCCAAGTAGCAACCATTCAGAACACATTGCATCTGCTTAGCAACACCTTAGCAACCACTCAGAATACCCCAACAGTAGCCAAGTAGCAACCATTCAGAACACATTGCATCTGCTTAGCAACACCTTAGCAACCACTCAGAATACCCCAACAGTAGCCAAGTAGCAACCATTCAGAACACATTGCATCTGCTTAGCAACACCTTAGCAACCACTCAGAATACCCCAACAGTAGCCAAGTAGCAGCCATTCAGAACACATTTACCAAGTTTTGTTCATTCCAATGAAGGAAAAAATCTTTGAAAAAGAAAAGAAATAAAAGTAGAATGTTTCGATCCAAATGTTTCGGTAGACATTAAATTAATTTTAAACTTATGTAAATAATTCTATGTAAATATTAATTTATGCATTGATAATTCTATGATATGTTTTAGTCAGTTGTTGAATAGACAGCTGCGCAGAGTTTAAAGTCCTCTACAGATTTATAGTTTTGGAGTTGATGTGGTCCAGATTTGCGGCTGTCGGAGACATGCATCTGACTCTGAACATCCGTGTGATTAACACACATCAAAACTACAGCAAATCAAAGTGCAGAAGCCCAGACCTCTGATGATCATAAATCATCTTCATATTTCTGTTGATTCCAGGAAATAAAACTTTGCCGTTCTGGATAATAATAAGCACTGTCACACACACTTCAGCATGAATCACTTCTGGGATCAACGGGAAATATTCTCAGCCTGTGTTTACAATTACGTGAATATGAATATGAATATGAGCCTGATGTCGTTCTTACCGGCTTCCCCATGGTGATGAAGATGAAGGTCAGATCCAGTGTCTCAGATGAAGAACGTGATGATGATGTTCATGCGGTGAAACTCCTGCCGTGTGTGTGTGTGTGTGTGTGTGTGTGTGTGCAGATCAGGGTGTGTTTATGATACACACACCTCACACTGGAGCAGATCTGCAGACAGGTTCACACAGGAGCCGGAGCAGGAGCTTTATATATATAAATATAAATATATGTCAAAAAAATCCAGCTTTGATCACAGAAATAAATTACACTTTACTGTATATTCACACAGAGAACAGATGATTTACAGTATAATAATATTTCACTGTTTTACTGTATTTTTGATCAGATAAACACAGCTTTGGTGAACAGAAGAGACTCTCAGAAACATTGACGCCAAACTTTTGAACATCACACACACACACACACACACACACGCGCGTATATATGTGGATTATAGTTGCAGATCTCGCTGTTTTACACTCGATGTCGAGTTCATGCATGTCTGTGTGCAACTATTAAAACCTCATCTATCAGTGCGGCTCAGAGTCAGCGCAGACGTGTGTGTGTGTGTGTGTGTGTGTGCGTGCATGCCCTTCCCTCAGGAATCTGCAGTGATTGCTCATACTTTATTTCAAGTAATTCCATTTTTTGAGAGTTTTTAATGAGATTTTTATAGTTTGTTTATTTTAATCCCGATTAATTTAATTTAAATTACACATTAAACCAGTGCTTGTGTATAATTGAGATACTAGTTTAGCTTTTTTTATTCATATTTATTAAATGCTTTTTAAAGGTTTTATTTATTTTTTATTTTTTTGCATAATTGAGATACTATTTTAGTTTTAGAGTAAAACTTGGAGCGTGTTGAGACACACAGTCGTCAGTGCGCATCAGAACACGTCACTCGCTGCAGATTCTGCTCGTAAACTCCACATGTTTCAGCAGGAAAACAGCACTGGAAGAATGAAGAATGTGTGTGTGTGTGTGTGTGTGTGTGTGAGAGAGAGAGAGAGAGAGAGAGAGAGAGAGAGAGAGAGAGAGAGAGAGAGAGAGAGGGTGTGTATGTGAGTGAGTGAGTGTGTGTCTGTGTGCGTGAGCGAGTTTGTGTGTGTGTGAGAGTGAGTGAGTCGTGAGTGTGTAGCCTATGTGTAATTCACATCTCAAAAATGTCAGAAAATGGCTAAATATGACACATTTTATAAGTATAATATTACTAAATAATTACATAAATGTTTAGCAGCACAACTGTGTTGAACACTGATAATAATCCTAAATGTGTCTTGATCATCAGATCCTCATATTAGAGTGATTTCTAAAGGATCGTGTGATGTCGCGTCCGCACTGGCGGCCATCTTGCCACAGTCAGCTCGCTCAGTCATGACATTGTTTTAATGGTGCATGCACTTTTTAAATAACCATAACTTGCTCAATTTTCTACCGAATTTCAAACGGTTTGGTTTGTTATAAACGTCAGAGATGTAGTTATGACACTGCCCAGATAGCACACACACGTCTGCAAGATGTGTGTTAAAGATCACTTCATCTGGAAAGCATCTGCTGTTTACTAACATCTTTAAATCATGAATTCTAAATCATTACATCTTAAAGACATCTTCTAGACGTCTATTTGACATCTGACAGGAAACGTCCTATAGATGTATTGCAGATGAGCAAACACTGTAAACACACACATCAAATAGACGTGTCTGTGATGTGTGTGAATCTAACAGGGTGCAGACTTGTGTATTAATAAATAATCATCCAGAATTATAGCCACGTTAATGACGTTTGTAAGAAACCAAACCGTTTGTAAATCCGTCAAGATTTCAGTGAAATAAGAGTGTGTGTATCTTACATCAGGAACACAGAGCCGCCAGAACGCTTGACTGTGACAAGATGGCCGCCGGTGATGACGATAGGAGACCCTAGAAGAAGTGATCTGTGTTCACGTGTGTGAGCTGTGTCTCCCTCTAGTGTTCATCTCGAGTAACGCGGATCAAACACTCACAGCAAACAAGAACAAATCACGTTTTTAATTAAACGTCTCAGTGTTTCTGTCTCGTTTCCAGTCCAAATATCGAACAATTATTTAATCAAGAAGCATTGACTTGAGAAGTAAAACATTTTTAAACAATATATTAAGTGCGTTTTTTTCTTAAAACATGCTAAATGATCTGCCAATGGGGTCAGAAAAATAATCTGGTTTTCCATTTGAATGAACATGACCGTCCTCCTCTAATATATGAACATTCTGAAATATACATTTACAAACATAAATAAAAACACATTTACTGGAGAAGCAGAACGACTGAAGATATGAAGTGTTGTTTAATAAAGTGACTTTGTGCTGAAAACCAGAACAAATCAAAAGTCTGAAAAAATGATCTTAATTCAAATATTATTTTTGACTCCATTTGCAGACATTTGTCCATGTTTTACACACAAACTCACGTCATTTAGATGATAAATCCAAATAAGAACAGAAATGCTTTGACAGACATTGCTTTTATTGTTTATAACACATGCTTATGAAGAAGATGATGATGATGATATCAACAATCACAAACATCACAATAATATTCGCTCTAATATTCAGATCAAATAATTGAGCAGCAAAATATATAAATCTGTTTTATAAAAAGTAGCATGATCAACATTACATTGCTCTTGCCTGTACAAATACACAGAGTATAAAATATAACACGGAAAATAATACGTCACTCATTACTATAATGCATAAAGGGTGATGTGATTAAGGCATAATTCGTGCGTCACGTGATCAAACGGGTGAAAGTTGACGATATCCGTCAGAAATGTTTCACTAAATAACTGCGATAAATCCTTACACACACTAGTGGCTAATTCAATAAATAACATTCATAAATAAATACATTTGATATTGTAACTCGTTTCTTGAAATATGTGATATTCTGTATGTTTGATTAACCGCTCCTATCTCGTGAAGTGATGACGTCATCTGATGATGGAAACGCAGATCCTTCCCATCGAGAACTGAACTGAGAATGCGTTTATATTTCATTTTTTATGTCCTGAATTTAAATTGAGCTTCGAACTGAATGAAATTAAATTCCAAATTGAAATTCAAATCAATTCATGTAAGAGTAGATGTTAATAATACATTTCATTTTCAGTATGAATTACCAATAAACAGGTTCATACACCCAACATAGATATACACTACCGTTTAAAAGTTTGGGGTGGATAAGATGTTTTTTTCGCCGATTACGCCAAAGATGCGTTTATCTGATCATAAATACAGTAAAACAGTGAAATATTATTATAATGTAAATCATCTGTTCTTTGTGTGAATATACAGTAAAGTGTAATTTATTCCTGAAATTCAGTGTCACATGACCCTTCACAAATCACTCTAATATGAGGATCTGATGATCAACACACAGTTATGATTATTATCAGTGTTGAACACAGTTCATATTTCTGTGGAAATATTTTTCAGGATTCTTTGATGAATAGAAAGTTCAAAAGAACAGCATCTTTTGTAACATTATAAATATCTTTCCTGTCACTTTTGATCAATTTAATGCATCTTTGATGAATAAAAGTATTAATTTAGTAAAAAAAAAAAAAACAGTAAAACCTTTAAATATGAATCCCCAATTTTAATATCAATACTTATTGTTCTAAAGTTAACTAAACGTGGCGCTTCCAGTCGAACCGGTCCTGAATCTCTGTCGTGGACGAATTAAAATCAAGCTTTTAAATGAAACGCTTCTTAAAGGGCCAGTCACCCAACAATCACCGTGTCATTTACTGGACAGTCTCAGTGTTTTATTATTGTCCATCTAGATGTCGTTGTTAAATACTGTTTTACACCATCGTCTCTGGAAGTGTGTCTAAGCTGTCCGACGACAAGAGCTGCCATATCTGCCACTTCTCCATTGGCCAGTCTGGATGCTGAGTGATGCGTGACTCCGCCCCCTGGCCCGCATGACACGCCGTGGCCTCCTCTGATTGGTGGAAGGCAGTCCGACGGCTCGCTGTGATTGGAGGCGACGGTAGCGCAGGTTTGGCGTCGCTGTGGTCGTCGTAGAAGACGTCGGAGGACACGCGCTTGTACAGGTGTCCGTCTGAACCTGAGGCACACAAACACACATCCACCGAGACACACGTCTGAATAAAGTCAGAGTTTTCGTTACTTCTGGAGCAAAATGTATTTCCGATGCAACTAACCCACTGACTACTCTGATGACGATCTCCTTTCTGGACGAGGACAGTATACCGTACACACACGTTCAACGGAGGGACAGAAAGCTCTCGGACTAAATCTAAAATATTCGTTCGTTTAACACTCACACTCGGGAACTTCGGATCAAAATTGACCCAAATGGCGGGATTCATATTTAAAAAAGAAAATCATCATTTTTTTTAATAATATTTTTTCTTTTCTTTTTTGGTGTTTTGAGAAAATTGCAAAAATACAAAAATTTATAATTAGTATTAATGCAATAATTATGACCAAATTTTCCCCCATTGAATATAATAGAAAAAAATATTAGAAAATATATATATATTTTTTTTAAAGCTGTATTTCATTTTAGAGTCAAGCTCCGGCCTCATAAAAGCAATTTTTGAAATGAGATGGATGCCATCTGGTGGACAAACTGAGCTTTTTAAAAATGCAAAACACATGTATAATCTGAATTTTTTGGTGTGTGTGTGTGTGTGTGTGTGTGTCTGTTTTGCACTCTTGATGTTTAATAGGTTCACCCCTTCACTGTTGTGTGCTTTTTCTCAAGATCGTGGCTGATTTGTAGATTGTACGCACAAAAACACTAAGTATTTTCACATTTTTGCCAATTTCCCATTCATTTCCTATGCAGGTCATTTTTGACCCGAAGGTCCTGAGTGTGACTGTTTTTTTTACGACCACTTAGACTTTTCAAATCCTGTCCCCAATTTTTTTGTGTGTTCATATACCAAATACAATTAACCTCTTAACTGTCACCCCCCCTTTTTTGAATATAGATGAAAATGCACATTTCGAACTTAAATGGTAGTAATTCAAGAATGCTTTGGAATATAGACATATGATTGGTCTTGTTTTAAAGAAGACATTTGGCAGATTTTTGTAGAAAGTGAAACAGAAGAAAAGTTATAGAAGTTTGAGTTTATGGAAATGTACAATGTAAAAATATTAATTATTCATATTTTACATAAAATATATATTTTCAAAACCTGGGCTACTCTAAAACGGCAGAAAAATCAAAGCCAAAAATCTGAACAAGTTGTGTTTCAAATTTTAGGTTGATATCTCAAAAAGTGAGCTTTCAGTAAGATTTTGTTTGAGCGCAGTACCAAACTTTTTCACTAGGGCACAATCAGACTCCATTACTGCCCATATAAGGGCGTCTGTATTTCCATTCGTGTTTTGAGTGATATGAACCATTATTTTCACAATTTTCGTACAATTTCTGAAGTAGAGATCCTATTCAGAAGTAGCATGGGAAGTTTGGCAGATTTTGAAATGAATTGAACCTCTAAGAAACACATACAAAGAACACGCATGTAAGTCATAGCTAGCTGCCACGTCACAAATGGTGAATTTATTATTTTTTTTCTTGATATTTCAAACTTTTCAGACCTTTTTTCCAAAATAATTGAATGGATTTTATCTTTTGAACTTTTGGCATGAAAACAAACTGAGGTATCTACCATTTTTTCATGATTTTTCATGTTTACTGCTATTTTAAAATAAAGGTCTGAACACGCCTTATGAGTATGAAAATATTCTTGTTGCATATTGATAAATTATGGCTCCTCTGTAATATATTTTGAAAATCAGTCACCAAATATGGAAACTAGAGATTGTAAGCTTTCAAATGATATATAGTTTGTCAATATTATTTAAGGTATTTACTAAGATATTATTGTTTTAAAAATATAGTGGCAAACGTCCCATCTGTGGGACGGTGACAGTTAAGTGGTTGTTAAAGTCACCAAGTTTCGGACCATTCTGATGAAGCTACGATTTTTAACATTTTTTTATTTAAACGCTTCGGCTCATTATCGAGGGTTAAACTGTGTCCCGGAGGTCTGACGGGCTTGGGACGACATTAATGACATCACTTTAATTTTTTAGGGTGAACTAACCCTGTGGCATATAATCCCGGAAACGCTTCTCGTAGCTCAGGGACACCGCGGAGTGTTTAACGACACATGGATGAGGAAAACAAAAAATAACCCAAATAAGAAAGAGACGAATCATGTTCATCCATAAGACTTACCTTCAGACACATAAAGAGACTTTTAACATTCGCTCATCATTTCTGTCCATTTATTGAAAGACATAAAAGTAATCCGTGTGATCAGGTGGTTTCGGAAGCTCAAAGGACCAATGAGATTTGTTCTCGCGTGTGTTAAGCACATCACAATTAACATTTGTGTATCATATAAAGTCTCATTAGAAGACCTGCTCGCTCGTGTAACCGTGACGTTTACGAAACCTGGGCTTTTATACGTCTTCCTTACATTAACATTTTTGAACCAATATCCAATCTTGAATCAGAATATCTTCCTCTTGATGTGGGCGGGGCTTTAACCTGTCACTCACATGAGATCAGCCAATAGCAAACCACAGTCAGCCAATCAAATCCTCACAGACACAATCAAGCCCCGCCCACATGTGTTCTTGTTCCTGAAGCGTTTCACACTTCCCTTTCATGACTATATTATTATATAAAACAATATCTGTTGAAGCTAAACGCGAATGTTCGATAACTGGCGTGTGTGTGTGTACCTGTGAGGAGTTTGTCATGAAGTCCCGACAGGAGAGTGTGTCTCGTTCGCCAGATACTGGGCTCTTCATGCAGCGTTTCCCCTGAGGACAGGAGTGTAGAAGAACCAAACATGAAGTGACGTTTGCTATGACTGTCATTATGTTTATTATATTATACACTTTAAACAATATCTTTGAAAAATGATTTGATTAAGGTTGGTCCTCTGATTAATTATGCTCCTGGGATCAGAAATAGCAGGTTTGAGGAAAGGCATCAAAGCATTCGCTCACAATTTCCTGATTTACTTCAGTGGGAAAGAAATGAAGTTTTTTGAGGAACACACTCCAGGGTTTCTCCATATAATGGACTTCAATGGGGTCCAACGGGTCGAAGGTCAGATGTGAGTTTCAAAGTCTCGACACGATCCAGCCGAGGAATAAGAGTCTGATCTTTACAACAAAACACACATTTATATACTTTAACCACTAATGCTGGTCTTGCTCTCGCTGTGATGCGACACACATTACGAGATCATCAGGGTGAAAGTTCAAGCTTCACCTTCATTTCTTTTCCACTGAAGTAAATCAGGAAATTGTGAGCGAATGCTTTGATGCCTTTCCTCAAACCTGCTATTTCTGATCCCAGGAGCATTTAACTATAAAATGGTGCAATATTAGCTGACAGACTCACCGGAGCCGGGCTGTGAGGACGGGATGTTCAGACTGGGATGCGGCGTTCCCGAGGGATGGAGCCACTGGGAGAGCACCGGGGAGTTGTTCTCGTACGGAGAGATGTCGCCGCTGGAGCGCCGGGACTCGCTGCAGGAGTTGGTGGATGAGCGGAGGAATACAGTATTTGAGCAAACATGAACTAACCACAAGCAATCTACAGGACGCAACATTTGAAGTGGATCAAAAGTTATTAGTAATTAGTGATTTCTGTTTTGTTCATGTCAAACCAATACAATATTTTTTATTTGGAATCATATAATATATTAATATTTTTTTTTAATAGAATAGGTCCATTTGATTTACATTTAATGCTCTATATAATATAATATAATATAATATAATATAATATAATATAATATAATAGGGATGTGCAAAAATTAATTGCGATTAATCGCATCCAAAATAAAAGTCTGTGTTTACATAGTATATTTGTGTGTGCTGTATATAATTATTTTGTATATATAAATACCTATGCATACATGTATATATTTAAGAATTATTTGCACTTAAATTCTGTATATATATATATATATATATATATATATATAAATACCTAATCTATATTATATAAATATAAATATTTTATATATCAATAACACATTTTCTTAAATATATACATGCATGTGTGTGTATTTATATATTCAAAATAATTATATACAGCACACACAAATATATTATGTAAACACAGACTTTTATTTTGGATGCGATTAATCACTATTAATTTTTGCAGAGTCCTAAATATAATATAATATAATATAATATAATATAATATAATATAATATAATATAATATAATATAATATAATATAATATAATATAATATAATATAATATAATATAATATAATATCGATAATTCTTTATATTTGAAAGCCGATAATCGATATATATCGGCCGATAAATGTAAATCCAAAGTTTTATATAATTTTTGAGACACTGATTACAAAAACAAAGGTCTCACCATTAAAAGCCACATCGCAAACACACAATTATAATGTTCTATTATTAATTCTATGTTCATTTTATGTAGCCGTTATGACAAACTTGTGCTGCGCTTTACTGTATTTTAATTTTTCTAATTGATTCCAATCATATTTCAACGTTTTTTTCAATCATATTGAACGGTGCGCATCTGAAGAGTCTCAGATGAAGGAAATAATAATACATTAATTATCAGCTTTACTGTAATATATCGGCCAAATGTTCTCAGGCCGATAACAATAACAATAAAAATCAGCTGATACAGATTTGGTGCTTGATATATCGTGCATCCCTGGTAATGATATAATATAATATAAAATGTATCTTCCTTATGTGGATGGCAAATTAAATATAAACTGCACAACTATTGAGGTTCCCTCAAATGACTGCGATTAGACTGAATAAGCACGATCAGATGATTAGTCACTAATGGCAATAGTGTTGATTGAGACCCAAATCCACTTACTCACACTGTGGTGTTTTCCTCCTCATCAGATAATCCACCACATCACTGTCAGTGTCCAACAAACTCACCAGAACCTCGTTCTGCAGCTCCGCAGAGATCTAGAGGAGTCAACGCAACATCATCAACCACTGCAAGCATCACTGAGACGCTTTAGCACGGCCGGCTAGCCAACGCTGTACCAGAACATTCTTCTGCATTTATAACATTAAGAGACACAGTCTGATGCACAGCCGACTAACCATCACAATCATCACGAGGAATTGAAATTTTAATTAATCATCGGAGATTAAAGTAACTTTCAGAACTTTCAACTTTTTCCAGAGTGGAAAAAAAGAGCATGTATGAAATCAGTGCTATTATTAACTTAAAGTAAAAAAATGTTTTTTGCTATTTTAAATAAAGCTGAAATAAAATAAATATAAATATTAGATGAACTTAAAAAACTGTTGCATTTAAAATTAAATTAAAATCACATATATTAAAAGCTAAATATATAAATTACTAAAACTTAAAATAAAAAATAAAATAAAACTAAAATAAATTAAGGCTAAATAAAAATAACTAATAAAAGCACATAAAATGACAAAAGCTAAAATAAAAAAAAATTAAATTAAAATGAATTAAAGCTATATATATATATATATATATATATATATATGTATATATATAATTAGTACAAAGGCACATAACAATATTACTAAAACAAACTACAATAAAAACATTAAAATTAAATAAAATTGTATTAAATATAAATATAAAAAATAATAAACAAACTAAAATCAAATAATTTGAATAAATTAAACAATTATATATATTTAAAAAAACAATAAAAATTACAAAAGTACATAGTGAGTAAAACAGTGAGTTTAACATAAAAACAATTATAAGACTATAAAACACTATAAGACTATAAACACACATATATATATATATATATATATATATATATATATATATATATATATATATATATATAATCCTTAACAGTAATACGAACACCCTTCACTGGAGAAAGACGGTTTAGCACAGATAACGGTGTTGTTACAACATCTACCAGCAGAGACTAACTAGACCAGACTAACCAGGCTAACCTTTGAACTTCACTTACTTCACTGTGAAGATAATATAGAAATCCTAAAAACAGAACACCAAAAAATGGTTGAGGGTCATATATATATATATATTAAAATAATATATTAAATAATATATAACATATATATTAAAATATATATATAGTAAAATAAATATTGCACCATTTTTGTTTAAAAATATAAATAATGTGTAATAAAATACATAATAAAATTGTTAATATGTATTTTTTTTAATTAATATGATATAAAATATATAATTAAAATGATAAATCTTAGTGAACCCGTGTACGATTCCTTAACTTTTACACTTCAAAGGCCTTCCTAGGGACTGTGTTGGGAAAACAGAGCGTTTCAGCGGACAAACCACAACTCGATCCCTTTCATAAAACTGCCGAAACCAATAGGGATTTATTTGGTTGTATTTTCTTTGGGTGAGTATCATCAAAAGAGATCTGTTCTCCTACCATGAAGAGTGTGTGGTGTGTGTCGATCATGCGCTGCACGACGCTGATGATGGCGGCGCTGTCCTCCACTCGGGCCGAACTCTGGACGCTGAACTCCTTCTCGGAGATCTTCTGCTGGTGAAGGAGGTTCGGCCCGAAGATCGTGGCCAGATTCAGAGACGTCATCTTGTTCCCAACGACCTGAAGAAGAAGAAACACTGAGCCGAAACACGTCATGCTGGACGGGTGACAACCTGCACTGAGCTCAATGAAAAATTAGGTTTTTCCCATCACTGTTATCATCTAGCTACTCTGGAGTGCCTCAGGGCTCAGTGCTGGGACCGCTTCTGTTCTCCATCTACATGACATCACTAGCATCTGTCATTCAGAAACATGGCTTATCCCATCACTGCAATCCATTTGCAGATATTTGTTCCTGTTTTAAGCACAAACTCACTGAATTGATTTTTTTTTTAATATCTTCAGTCATTTTGCTGCTTCTCCAATAATTTTATCTTGATTTAACCCTCAGGTGCTCTTTGCTCATTTCTGACCGAAAAATTTTCTGTTTTGAAATTGTAAAAATCACAGCTTCGTCGGAATGTTACGAAACTCGGTGACTTTTATGGCATTATGTATGTGAACACACACACAAAAAAAATTGAGGTCATAATCCGAGCATGCTAAGCAGTCTTAAAAAAATAGTCACACTTGTGGTCTTTGGTCAAAAATTACCCCCATAGGAAATGAATGAGAAATTGTAAAAAAAAAAAAAAAAAAAAAAAAAAAAAAGTGAATTTTTGTCAATTTTTTTTTTTTTATAAGAAATAGTTTTTGAGATTGTTTCAACTATATATTCAAATCCACCACCAACAACAACAAAAACGTGTTCATAAACAGCAGGGGAATTCACATGCCTCTCCATAGACAGCTGTACATGCCACCATGATTCTACGCTTTTTCTCTATACTGGAACCAGATGGTGCTAATTTTCTTCAAAAAAATATTTTTTTTTCTGAAGGCCTAGACTCTATATTAAACAAAAATTTTTGGAAAAAAATAATATATATATATAGAAAAATATATATATTTTTCCATGGCAAAAATAAACCATAAATATTGCATAAATATTAATAAATTCAATTAAATTGTCTCAAAATACTAAATTAAAAAGAATAAATATTATAGAAAAAAATAAACAGCATTGGTTTTACTGGGATGGAGAAAGTTTCATTTTTAGGTGTCCGGGAAGAAAACAAGCACCTGAGGCTTAAAAACGTTTAGATATTTGTGCTAGAAAACAAGACAAAAACATTGAGGAAGAACATCATTTTGGGGTGTAGATAATATTTTTAAGGAAGTCTTCCCTATCAGTATTAGATAGATTTTGAAGTGCCCACAGAGACAGAAACACTGAGGAAGAAACGTATGTTTTGCAGTGTAGTTATAAGCCCGACCTCTTTCCCGCCAGCGTCCCAGGAATCCTCTGCGTGATTGGCCACGTCAGACAGGAAGTGAAGTAAGCACTGAAGCGTGTCGCTGTTGCAGGCGGGCAGAAGACAGATCAGAAGCTGAATGGCCAAGAGCTGGTCTGGCTTCTCCAGAGCTGTAGAAACACACACGGAGCACAGGAGAGGGATATCTGGGATTATCAGTTTTATAATTCCTAGAACTACAGGTGGACGTTCCCGGATTTTGGCGTGTTTGTTCGCACTGCAGGAATTAGGAACTTCAGAGTCGTCTAAACCAGCGCTATAGGAACTACAGCGGCCGAACGCATGCGAAACACCAGCACACGCCATTATTAAAACATTTAAAGATTAAATCCAGAAACTAACTCTACGAATATGGAAAGCAGATCTTAATCTTTATGCTGAGGAGAAACTCAAATGGCATATGCTAATAACTTTATTACTGTCTACGTTCTATGTATAACAGTTTTATTTATTGTAAACTAATGAACACGGAGAATGCGAGCACTGTGCGCTCAGCCGTCAATATAAAAGTCTCAACAACAAGTTCTCGGGGACCACCCTGGCAGGATGCGGTGCGACTCACATGCGCAGGCGATGAATGCGGAGTACAGCTCTCGGGTCAGCAGAGGGTCAGGCATGTCTCGGAGGAACTCTTTCAGCAGCGCCGCCACATCATGAACACTGTGCCTCTGGTCTAGAGCCACGTCTGTGCCCTGATCGAACGCCTCACGCAGCTGAATCACACACACACACAACAAAACACACACGTGGTCAACAATGGTACTGGCCTTCATATAATTCACTTTCAAAATAAATCTAAGTTATGACATATGCTCTCAATGACCAATGCGGAACAGTTAGTGCATGCGCTCATGACATCAAGGCTAGATTATGTAATGCTCTACAGTTAGTTAATTATTCTGATTATTTTAATTTCTTCTATGTAAAGCACTTTGAATTGCCACTGTGTATGAAATGTGCTATATAAATAACCTTGGTTTCCCTGCATGCTTAATAAACAAACTACAGCTAGTCCAAAATATATACACACGTCACAAATGACCTTGTAAATGTGTGATCGTCAACGAGTGGATTTCTGAGGTGAGTGAGTGGAGGCGGGGCTCATTTGCATATTCATAGAACTGTGTGTACTAAATGAGGAAAGGGTGTCGAGTTACATTCAAGATATTTTGAGGTATTCCCAGGGAAAAAAAACATTTAAATGTCTTTTTTTTTTGTTCTATTACCTGCCCCAGATAATGTATTGTCGTTATGTTTTGTAAAAAAATTCAAATAAACAAAATGTAAAAAAAAATATATATACATATGTCATTTTGGTAATCAAAGAGAGTTTTAAGGGATACAATTATTGACTACAGGGGGACTTTAAAATAAATAAATACATTAAATATACATTAATTTATACATTTAAAATAATATTTTGAGGCATTCCCAGGAAAAAAAAAACATTTAAATATATATATATTTTTGTTCTATTACCTGCCCCAGATAATGTATTGTTGTTATGTTTTGTAAAAAAAAATCAAATAAACAAAAAGTAAAAAAAAAAAAAAAAATGTCATTTTGGTAATCAAAGAGAGTTTTAAGGGATACAATTATTGACTACAGGGTGACGTTAAAATAAATAAATACATTTAATATACATTAATTTATACATTTAAAATATATTCACCATTTTAAATCAAGCGATATCCAACAAGCAAGACTGTGAATGTAATACTGCTTAATACATTTGTATTTTTCGTTTGTTTGTAAGTTCGAGCATTAGAAAAAAAACACATTAGAGTTTGCATACCTACTACCTATGTTTGCATGTCATGTGAATATGCAAATTTATGGTTTAACTATTAAAATATTCACTTAAAATCTTTAGGTTGAAAGTGTTAAAACAAGTATGGGAATCGCAGGACTAAATGATGAAACACTTTGTACAACAATATCTTTTTACAATTTCTATGCCATATATATATATATTTTTTAAATGAAATAATTTTCTTCTATTATGTTTTAATTATTCTGATTTCTTTTAATTATTTTAGTTTCTTCTATGTAAAGCACTTTGAATTGCCATTATGTATGAAATGTGCTATATACATAAACTTGCCTTGCCTTGCCTATTATTTCCATTATATTAATTTATTTTTGTTATATTTACTGTGATTTGATTAAAAAAAAAAATTTAAATACAGTCTCTAAAACATAAAACATCAGCTTCTCACCTGTCGAACTCTTTTCTTGGAGCTTCCGACCCGGAAGATCCCGACCGTCTGCAGACCTGGACAGCGGATAACAGCAGCGTTACTCATCGCGTACACTAAACTCTGAAGACCCCATGAAACGCAAACGAAACGTTATTGTCACACGATTCCTGTCTTATGTTTTCCTTGTCTTGCGTGGACTTTTATTTCCTGTTTTGTAGTCCTTTGTAGTTTTTCTTGTTTATTAGACACCAGCGCTACATACATCAGCGCTACACACTCGCTAGGAAAGGGGTTTATTATGAGATAACAACCAGCCGGATGTACATGATCCCAACTAAGAGGCTCACTGACCGTATCTCTGCAGATGTTGGCAGCAGCTGTCCAGCACGCGCGGCACCTGCCTGTAAATGGGGTTCAGGCTTAGCTTAGCGTCGCTCATCTTCTTCTTCTCGCTGGGCGACTCCAGCGGCATCGACAGCTGTAGCGCCTCCAGGAGACGCGAGTGACTGTCGTCCAGGTCAGTGATGCAGTCCACAGACATGCCGCCCTACAGGGGAAAACAGTCCTTTCAGCCAACGCCGTCCCGGTCTTGCTAACATCGTGTTAAATCACGCTAACAACGTATTAAATCATGCAATCAACATGCTAAATTAGGCTAACAATGTGTTAAATGGTGCTATCAACATGCCAGAAAAATGCTACTCATGCTAAACAACATGCTAAATAATGTTAACATGTTAAATAATGCTAACAACATGCTAGAAACGTGTTAAATAATGTTAGCAATGTGTTGAATCATTTTAACAACATGCTAGCAAAATGCTAACAACACACTAACAAGATGTTAAGTCATGTGAACAATGTTGAATCGTGCCAACAACATGTTAATAAATGCGTTAAATCATGTTAACAATATGCTAAATAATGCTAGCAACATGTTAAATAATGATAACAATATGATATGCTTTCAGCCAACGCCGTCCCGGTCTTGCTAACAACGTGTTAAATCACGCTAACAACATATTAAATCATGCAATCACCATGCTAAATTAGGCTAACAATGTGTTAAATGGTGCTATCAACATGCTAGAAAAATGCTACTCATGCTAAACAACATGCTAAATAATGTTAACATGTTAAATAATACTAACAACATGCTAGAAACGTGTTAAATAATGTTAGCAATGTGTTGAATCATTTTAACAACATGCTAGCAAAATGCTAACAACACACTAACAAGATGTTAAGTCATGTGAACAATGTTGAATCGTGCCAACAACATGTTAATAAATGTGTTAAATCATGTTAACATTACGCTAAATAATGCTAGCAACATGCTAAATAATGATAACAATATGATATGCTTTCAGCCAACGCCGTCCCGGTCTTGCTAACAACGTGTTAAATCACGCTAACAACATATTAAATCATGCAATCACCATGCTAAATTAGGCTAACAATGTGTTAAATGGTGCTATCAACATGCTAGAAAAATGCTACTCATGCTAAACAACATGCTAAATAATGTTAACATGTTAAATAATACTAACAACATGCTAGAAACGTGTTAAATAATGTTAGCAATGTGTTGAATCATTTTAACAACATGCTAGCAAAATGCTAACAACACACTAACAAGATGTTAAGTCATGTGAACAATGTTGAATCGTGCCAACAACATGTTAATAAATGTGTTAAATCATGTTAACATTACGCTAAATAATGCTAGCAACATGCTAAATAATGATAACAATATGATATGCTTTCAGCCAACGCCGTCCCGGTCTTGCTAACAACGTGTTAAATCACGCTAACAACGTATTAAATCATGCAATCAACATGCTAAATTAGGCTAACAATGTGTTAAATGGTGCTATCAACATGCTAGAAAAATGCTACTCATGCTAAACAACATGCTAAATAATGTTAACATGTTAAATAATACTAACAACATGCTAGAAACGTGTTAAATCACGCTAACAAGATGTTAAATCATGTGAACAATATTGAATCGTGCCAAAAACATGCTAACCATGATAATAAATGTGTTAAATCATGGTAACAATATGATAATAATGCTAGGAACATGCAAACAACGTGTCAAATCATGCTAGCAATATGGTAATTCATGTTAACAACATGCTAAATAATGATAACAATATGTTGGCACATGCTAGAAATGTGCTAAATCATGTAAACAACATGTTCGTGTTAGCAATGTTTAATAATGCTAGCAACATAATAATGCTAGCAATGTGCTAAACAATGCAAATATATGTTAAATAATGCTGACAACATGCTAAATCATGTTAACAACATGTTAAATCATGCTAGCAACTGTTATTTTACACACGTACCCGTCGGCGTGTGCGCAGGGCCGTCTCCGGGGTGCCGGGGGTCGCGGGGTCGGTGGGCGTCTCCGAGGAGGAGCTGAGCGAGGAGTTGCTGCTGGAAAGCTCGTGTTTGGTGGATCTGCGGGAACACACTCGATCCGCCGGGAGCCGAAGCTCGTCCTGCTCGTCCTGAAGCTGCTTCTGACGCCGGTCGTTACAGATCACCTGAGACAGCGGCACGCCGAACGCCTGCGCCTCCGACTCTGAGGAACACACACACACTAGCAATTAAATGAAAATAAAATATTTTAAAAATCAAAACAATCGGTAACACTTTACAATAAGGTTCATTAGTTAACATTAGTAAATGCATTAACTAACATGAACTAACGATGAGCAATGCATTAGTTACAGTGTTAATTAATCTTTGTTAATGTTAGTTAATACAAATACAGCTGTTCATTGTGCGTTCATGTTAGTTCACAGTCCATTAACTAATGTTAACTAATACAACCTTTGATTTTAATAACGTATTAGTAAATGTTGGAATTAATATTAACTAAGATTAATAAATTCTGAAGAAGTATTGTTCACATATTGTACATGTTAACTAATGTAGTTAACTAATGTTAACTAATGAACCTTATTGTAAAGTGTTACCCAACAATCTAAAGAAAACCCAAGTGTTCATGAGTGATAAATAGCTAATAATTAAAGAAATCATAAAAATGTCAAATGAAAATAAATAAATTACTTAAAAATATAAACAAAAAAAAATAACTTAGTGTTATGATGGATGAAAATACAAAATATGTAAAAAACAAAACAAAACACTTTTTTTGTTTTTAGTTTTTCATTATTTATTTCATTTTTAATGTAATTAATCATTTATTTATATATTTTATTTTTAATCATTTTATGATAATAATTACCTTCTAATCCGCTCACAAACATTTTGGTAAACATTTTATTTTTAAATCACTTTTAAATTTTTTTTTTTTTCATTTTCGTGATTTAACTAAATATTAGCAAATGTTTAATCGACTCGTAAAACCCCTGCACTAGTTCCCATATTTCCAATTTAAAAAAATAAAAAAACCTGCCGCATTCACCGAGCGACATCACACAGACGCTCTTGCTCGTTTGATATGCTTAATATATCATATAATAAAACATTTGTGTGTTGTGACATTCCCCAGCAAGCCTCTCGCGTCATCAATCAGGAAACCCCTTTAATAAGCGCTCGAACGAATCCTGCTCACGCCGAGCCGCCGCACACACACACACACACACACCCGCGCGCCTCGGACTGTTGATGTTATTCCTCAGCGGGAGCGTCTGCATTCCAGCACACAGAACTTTACTGATCCAGGAGCAGCGCGAGCGGCACACACGGATCCCCCCTGCAGAGGTGCATTCTGGGTGAAGCCCCATATATCACCATGATAGAGCAGCGTCAGGAGCCGGAAGACTGAGAGCACATCACACACACTTTACACTTGAAACGCGGCGTTTAAAGATTTGTAAAAGCGGGAATCATCCAGATCACTGAGCAAACGTGAGGAAATGCGGGATCATGTGACTCTTGCAAATGAGAAGTGCATGAACACGAAAATCTATAGACTTGATATTCAATTAAAAACTAACAACACAAAAATGGCATTTTATTTTTAGATTTTATTTTTAGGTGATAAAATGATGCCAATGTGGATATTAATTAGGGCTGAGCAACAAATGAGCTACAAATGTATCACGATATAATGTTTCACGATATAAACACCAAACACACACCTTTGTCTCTCTTTTCCTTTGATAAAGAGTCCAGCTTCCTCCGGAGTGACTTCTTCCGCTTCTGGCCATCTGGAAGAGACGTAAAGCACACGAAACATTAGGAATAAAACAGAAACTGAGAGACAATCAAACCAGGGTCACGTCGGGGCGTCCCTTCACTCGGGCGATGTGTTGGAGTCGGGGTACCTTTAGGGATGGTGATCTGGCAACCCAAATCAAAGTGTTTGGTCAGCCGGACCAGAGCCACTTCCTGCAGCCGGACTCTCTCCAGCTCCGACAGACTCTGGATGGGCACCGACTGCATGTGGAGGTTATGACCCGTGGCTTTCTTACAGGTGAAATCTCCCTATGAAAGAAGAAATAATAAGAATTATTATTTATAAGAACAAAATAGAAAGAGATATTTAGTAACCATAGAGCTTTTTTAACCAGTTAAAGTCTCCATTTTTGAGCGCAGACCTGAAGATTTCGAATGAAAATGTTTTTTTAGTCCACATGTTTTTAATGGCAGTATTTGATTTGAATTCACTCTCTAACTCAGTTTGCACTCAAGACATGCATGCAAAGATTCACAAATGGATAATCCATCATATTTCTCTCTTTTTTTGCACATTTTTAGACCTTTTCTTGAAAAACAACAAAGTTATATTTTGCTCTCTTGGCATGAAATCTAGAGTTTAGTTTTTCATGATTGTACATGTGCACCAGCATTTCAAAATAAAAGTCTTGTCTTGTTGCAAATTAACATATTTCTGCTGTTCAGTCACCAAATATGAGAACTAGAGAAACTAAAATAGAGTATTATATTCCCCCTGTACTCAATAATTGTATCCTTCAAAACTGATCCCCAAAATTACATTTTCATGCCTTAAAATATCTTGAATGTAACTCGACACCCTTGCCTCATTTAGTATGCGTTGTTCTATGAATATGCAAATGAGCCCCGCCTCCACTCACTCACTCAGAGATCCACTGGTTGACGATCACATGTTGATCTGATTGGTTACAAGGTGGTTTGTGACGTCAGCGATTTCAAAGCAGAAAATACTCAGCAATGCTGTCGACTTATGAGCTTACACATGGTGTATCTTGAAATGTATTAAAACACCACATACACACATAAACAACATTAAAAGCTGGATTTACACCACAGGGGACTTTAAGGCTTTGTATGATGATCAATGACTATAATATCGTAAACTCTACATCAACTAACATGTTTATTCAACTCCGGTTTGAACATAAAGGCTAAAAGTTTTTGATAATTGCACTGTGAGTGTGTGTGTGTGTGAGGTAAAAGTACACAAGCTGTTGTAGCTCCGCCTCCTGCGCCGGGAGCAGCGGCTCATTTGCATTTAAAGGGACACACACAAAAACAAATGCGTTTTTGCTCACCCTCCACTTCGACAACTTTAACATGCTATATAAAAATATCCAATGTAAAACAATGGTGTTGTTTGGAAACAAATAGAGATGCACCGATAACAATTTTCTAGGCCCTTTCCGATTTTCATTGAGTTTGACCTGCCGATACCGATTTTAGCCAAATTCCGTTTTTTTTTCTATTTATTTTTTTATATATACTAGAGCCCGACCGATAAAGGATTTTGAAGGCCGATACCGATACAAATATTTGTTGGTTTTAAAATCCAATATTCGGATATATCGGCCGATATTTATTTATTTTTATTTTTTTTCAGAAACGCGCAACAAAACATTAACAGATTTCCCTAACATTAATTATTTGTAGTTATTTATGAGTTTTAACTAAAATAATATGATAATGTGTTTTAAAAAGAAACTTGTTTCTTTTATTGTCACAACAGAACAGACGGATGATAGTAGCATTAGCTAGCTTTATGGTTAGCTAGTCTATGACGAGCCATAATTTAGCAATGGATGACGTCATACTGCGAACATACATTTTCAATATAACAGGCCGAGGAGAGATGATGCGTCTCATTGCTATAACTGTCACGCGCTATTAAAGAAATACTTCAGTCACATCGTCAAACGTTAAAAGGACAGTCAGTCAACGACACTGTAGCAACGTAACGTAACTATTACTAGCTAAACACTCTCGGCTTATTTAACAGCAAAACTGGACATGATAGTCAAATGTTGTCCTGCTTATTTGAGTTTAGAGAACTGATGGGGATGATCTTTTAATAGTTATTCTAGCAATGTATGTCTCGTGACCAACTCAACGAGTGTTACCAACAGGAACGGTGTAGAGCGCCCTCTGGTGGACAAACTACACAACACTCATGACATGGTTCAAGCGTGTTTCATCCGTTTTTATTTTATTTTTGAAATATTCATTTATCGGCCATTAAAACTGCCGATACCGATATTTTGGAAAATGCCTAATATCGGTCTGCCGATAATATCGGTCTGGCTCTAAAATATACATTTTATCAAATTTTTTCATCCGGTTCCGGTCAATCAATGCATCTCTAGAAACAAAAGGAAAATATATCGGCATTGGCCAAAAATAGTTGAGGAATATCGGCATATCGGACATCACAGAAAATCTTGTGCGTCCCTATTTCAGATGAAGTAAATTAGTCTCACACACTCTCTCACACACACACACAGGAAGTAAACAGACGTACACAGCAGATCTCCGCGGCCTCGGATCAGCCGGCCTGTAAATCTGCCCGGACCGGATTAACTCTCTTTGATCGCCCGCGCCGTACGAGAGGCTTACGGCCCGATCGCTCTGACCCGTCTCAGGGCTCTCCAGCAATTACAGCACAACAACTGACATTCACGGATGACCGACTCCTCTCACAACATCAGTCCCCCGAGATCCAGCTCGACACACACCGCTCATGCACTGCTGAACCTGTGCGAGACCGCGGGGAAGTCTGCAAATGTGTGTGTTGTGTGTGGAGTAGCATATTTGATTCATAAGGCTTTTATATTCAGAGCCCAAACTGGGCAAAAACATGCAATCTGCTGCAGATCCTAATATTTATATGAAATTCTGAGGCTTGTAATGTAAATCAATGAGAGACTGATATAAAATGCATATAAACATCAATATCTGCCAATAATATGTCTTAGTAAGATTATATTTAATGCTTCGTTTTATGATCAAATCTCTGTAGTTTTAAAACTTATATAATGCAATGCAATACAAAGATGAACAAATAAACCTTCCCATGATTTTTATAATAAATGATGACGGATAATCAAGTAAACCTCAGTTCAGCTGAAATACTCACAATATCAAAGTTATTCTTGCGTTTCCTTGATGAAGATCAGATTTACAGACTCGTTGAGCTGGAGCTGAAGGAGGACGTCTGTACAGTTAAAGAGCTTTTACCCGATAAACACTGTAAACTATCCGTCACACACAGAGAGATCGGCTGTTATTCACGAGATAACTCCGCTATCATGAGTCATCGCGCAGCAAAGGTGACGCGCAACACAACTTTATTCTTCTGACATCTATTATTTCATTTCTCCACCCAAGCCGATCTCTGACAAGTCTAACATTCACTGGGCTTTCCCTTCCCAGACGCAGATCACACACACACACACAGAGAGAGAGAGAGAGAGAGAGAGAGAGAGAGAGAGAGAGACATGCACTCACATACACACAGAGAGAGTGGAGAGAGAGAGAGAGACACACACACACACACAGAGAGAGAGAGAGAGAGAGAGAGACGCACTCACATACAGAGAGACACACACACACACACACACACACAGAGAGAGAGAGAGAGAGAGAGAGAGAGAGAGACGCACTCACATACAGAGAGACACACACACACACACAGAGAGAGAGAGAGAGAGAGAGAGAGACGCACTCACATACAGAGAGAGAGAGAGAGAGAGAGAGAGAGAGAGAGACATGCACTCACATACACACAGAGAGAGTGAGAGAGAGAGAGAGAGAGAGAGAGAGAGAGAGAGAGACGCACTCACATACAGAGAGACACACACACACACACAGAGAGAGAGAGAGAGAGAGAGAGAGAGAGAGACACTCACATACAGAGAGACACACACACACACACACAGAGAGAGAGAGAGAGAGAGAGAGACGCACTCACATACAGAGAGACACACACACACACACAGAGAGAGAGAGAGAGAGAGAGAGAGAGACGCACTCACATACAGAGAGAGAGAGAGAGAGAGAGAGAGAGAGAGAGAGAGAGAGACATGCACTCACATACACACAGAGAGAGTGAGAGAGAGAGAGAGAGAGAGAGAGAGAGAGAGAGAGAGAGACGCACTCACATACAGAGAGACACACACACACACACAGAGAGAGAGAGAGAGAGAGAGAGAGAGAGAGACACTCACATACAGAGAGACACACACACACACACAGAGAGAGAGAGAGAGAGAGAGAGAGACGCACTCACATACAGAGAGACACACACACACACACACACAATAAGACCAATAAAACACAATCATATATTTCTATCTTCTCTTTCTGGCGATGAATGGGAGTTTCTGCAAAGTTGAAGGGTGATGCAAGTGACGTCGAGTGTGTGTGTGTGTGTGTGTGCTTTCAGAAACTACAAATACCTTAAAGCTAGAAATGCATCACGTCTGATTAGAGCTCAATCCTGTTCAGGAGCGCAGCGTCTCGACCCCTTCATCGGGAGAGATCACCTGACCCCTCAGAACACACACACACACACACACACACACACACACACACACATCAGCACTAGGGCTGGGTAATAAATATTGATTTCTCGATATTAATCGATTCTCATTTTTACGAAGCGATATCGATTGTTAAATCTCAAGAATCGATTAGTCATCCTGTTTCATTTGAATGAATGGATCATTGTATCGCGGCTGCGCACATCCAAAAAAATCACAATAATCTTTGTCCTTTGTTACTTTTGATATGAAACAAAGTCTCAATTTTCAAATTATGTCCATTTTCTTTAGAAATTCAAAAACATAAATAGCGTTTTGTCGCTGTGGCGTGAGATCGCTCTGGAGAAGCAGCAGCGCTGATCTCTCTTCCGGCTTAATAATACCAGATAAACATGAATGAGCATCTGAAAGTGTGTTAAAGATAGAGTACAACTTATCCAAATCCGGATCATGTCACATTGATTCGCTCAATCAGCGTTTCAACCGTGGAAAGACGTCAGTTAAACAGCTTGTAATCAATGTATCGTCATATTTACCTCAGAAAACCCACATAAACTCGTTAGTCAGATAGAAAAAATAACTCTAAAGAGGAGCATTTTGCTAAATATATACACCATATTACATATGCATTATAATCTTAATGTTCTTCAATATTTAATTCATATTTGAATGAATATGGCAAGTTTTTATGACAGCCACCATTTAAATGTT